CTGAACATCTTCACGGCAAAGGAGACATCGTCCTTGACGTAATTTATAATTTCATAACAATCAATTTCCATTTCTACACCATTCAATTCATACCTTATTATGTATATCTAAAAGCACAAATTCCCTCGAAGGGATTGAGTGCAGTCGGTTATAATTTCATTGTTCCTTTATCGATCTTTTTTTCGGGTCAATTTTTTTTTCGTGTAAAAATCTCTATCTGCTATAGAGGTTCCTTTTGATGCTACAAAAAAAAACTTTTGCACGTGGCCACCAACACGCGATCGTATGACTTTAAAATTTGTGACATATGTTGTTTTATGGAACAATATGTGATGGGATTGTTTTTTTTTTTAATATTACTCCTGCCTATATTAAGATGGTTAACGCAGAAATGAATCAATAAAAAAGCGGCGTTATTAATATAAAAAATAACTATTCGAAATAACTTTTAATCGGAACAGTTGGCTTATTTTATATTTTACACACATTAAACTTATCCGGAATTAGTGTTATATAAACAAACTAAAATTCCTTCTAACTTAGATTTTGCTAAAAGACCTTTCTTTTCAGCAGTCGAAATTATATGATGGATATCCAAATAAACATTACCTGTACAATATTTTACACATGGTAAAATAGAGTATGACAGAAAACATGGTGAATAAACTAGCCTATCATCTAATTAATTAAAAAAATATAATTTAAGCGTTTTAATGGTGGTCGCATGAAATTCGTACTTATTTTCCCATTAAATCAAAAAGGTTAACTTAACTCAAGAAAATCGGAAAGTTAAAACTTATTTTTGCTCGCCAATGGTGACTATGATTACGTCTCGTTTAGATAAATTACGATATATTTTTAATCACTAAACGCCTACGTGGGCTGCGTACCGTGTATTTGACATAAAGAAAAAATATGTGAACACAGATTAATACCGAATAAATCCACAAGTGCGGACCACACACGACGCCTTCCTAAAAGCAACAGTAAAAGGTGTTAACGTGGAATGAACACAACCATTCCATTTTTGTAAAGCCAACAATCGAAATAGCGCTTAAACGCCATAATCTGCTTAGCCCGGTGGCGCCCTCTAATATTTGAGTTTTCAAATCAGGAGTTGAAAACAGTTGGTCTGCTTAGGAAGATGTCGGACGTCGCTACTATAAAACATTTAAGAATAGTAGTCAGAGTTGGGACGTAAAAACACCCATTCTACTGATTAAAAATCTAGGAACACGACGTGACCAAAATGCTGCAAAAACGTTTCTAAGATTCTGTTGCAGTTTTTATACAATTTTTATTATATTATCTTTACAGATAAAAAATTAAATCGATAAAAATGCTTTTTTTGTGTATGGACGACCATCACAAAAGCTTACAAAGATGTATTATTTGATTATGAAAAACATAAAACGATTTAACTTCGTAACGTTTTCTACAAATTTTAATAACAGCGTACGATTTTAAAATTTTATTCCCATTTTACTTTGACAAAACATTTGACTTCGTAAACACTTCCCATTCTTTGTTCAGGGAACTGTTACACGATCTGTTCAAACAATATTTGTTGAAGGTATAACGTGTTGAGTCCAGTTTTAGGGTGTCTGTCTGTAGAGCACGATTTTGTTTTAACGTATACGTAACCGTAACGTTTTAGTTGTAAGCAACTCTACCCGAAGAAAACTTAGCGAACATGGCATTGATTTATTTTGATCTCTATCTAATCTATATAGTTCTTACAATATTGCACAGTGACTGTCACACACTGTCTCTCTGATGGTGCGGCAGAGATAACGCTCCACGAAGCCGAAATGAGTCGATTGTCTCTTTACAAAGCTGTGCAATATTTATAGCCAAATACTATCCATAATTATGATAGTATTTGGCTGAATGCACTCAGGAAAGACAAATGTTATCTGATATACTATTAACTTAACTTTCGTTAAGTTTATAAATATGTGTAGTCCAGTGTTATTACGATATGCTTAAGATTGATCTTCGGAAATTAACGAATTTAAGCTGGAAGTCCTGATTATTGTCTATGGGTGCGGTCATTTGAGTGCTAAAATAATCTTAGAATAATTTATGATTATTAGCGTTTATTTATAATAATCTGTGCTGTGAAAAGTCAATGGAGAAGCAAAGGTTCTTTTCCTTTACATTTTAATGAGTAAGAAACACTTCGCCTGATCTACTTATTATTAATGCGAATAAATACAAAACGAGCGAAACGATATTAACTTCCCGTGGATCGTCCTAAACGATTTTCGTCTAACTACTACAAATTCCAAAACCTGATTTACTTTAAAACACCGTGATCAATAAGTTAAGAGTGAGGTATCATGTTATACTGGTCAATTTTGTGACGCGTTTAAGTAGCTACGTCGTGTGGTGGTTGTTTTAGGGCAATGTTTATCTTTGACCTTAACAAGACTGGTCTTTAACGAGGTGCAGTTTGCTTTGCGTTTGTATGACAAGTAATGGTGGAGGTTTTAGTGAGTTTGCCGTCTGAAAGATAATGTTAATATGCTAACAAAAACTTCTCAACAGTATATTCCTTGAATAAGCACTGTTATGTATAAACCAAACATTATTTTATTTTATTTATGAACGTTTTAAATGAAACTGTATCACAGATTTTAAAGAGCCGTTATAGCTCAGTGTCCGGGCGCTTGCCCTTAATTCAATTTACTTGAGCAAACTGAATTCGATCCCCGGTGCCGGCAACAATGAAATTGTTAATTTTAAGCACTATGATAAGTCGGAGGTCAAGTAAAACATCGCGGGGGAAACCTGCATATTTTCGAATAATAATGAAAACCAAAAACAATATGACCCGATGTCCGCCGATCAATGCCGCCGGCCTATGCCCAGCTGTGGGACATTTATATGCTGTTGCTTTAATTTAATTTTTTTTACAGATTTTATTACGTTTAATTTATTTTTAAACACCAACCCTTCGTTTGGAATTCTTTGCAATCTATATACTTTACAGAATACCTAAACTAAATGTGATGTCGTCTGTTTGTGTATACGTGAGAAAGAAAGAAAGAAAAATTTTTATACATAAATATAATAATTTGGTTACAAAAGTACAATTATTTGGTTAGAAAAGCTATATGGTAAATATTATAATACAATGCAACAAAAACTTTGGCACTTAGCGTTAGATTCCCAAGGAATCATTGGCATCGATTTTCGAGGTAAATTTTAATAATTCTTCTGCAAAATGCATAGAAAAGGTTAATTTAAATAACTGTTTTACACAGCACGAAATAAGTTACGAAGGTACGCACGGACGCAACCGTCGACGAAATTCAGCAATTGCGCCACATTAAGGCGGGAAATAATATCTTTACAGAGAGTTTGGGGGCGAAAGAAACGCACGTTTTATTACTTTGTGACTTTTCTATGCCCACAACAGAGTGTAAGAAAATTATTTAAGCTGCAGTAGGTACATTAAAAAACTGTATTATCTATTACGAACATAGAAACAATTACATACAACAATCCCAATAATGTACACATTAATAAAAATCTCCCAAGTACACATGCAGAGTTTCCAAAACGATTTACATCAGTAAAAAAACATAGCAAATTGGGCTAGATTGAGTCATTCCTTCAAGTTAACCTTTTTTAGAAAATGATTTCATCGACAAAAGGAAAACTGATAGTAGTATAAAATAAAGAGTGTAAAATTATTTTTAGAAACAATGATGAAACGCAGACGACAACGATAATAAAAATAAAAATATTTTTTTTTCATCTTACGTAAAATATGAACATCCTGTAACAATTAAAAAAACAAGCTCACTAACAGCTCATTTCCAGCAAAGTAATGTCCTCGGTCCCCCCTCACTATAATAACCTCCAAGTTTTTATTAAAAAAAATATCTCTCATCTCCGCTAAATTGTCCTCGCCACTCGGGAATATGAAAGTCGTTATTTAAAAAGGAGCGTCCCTTTTGCGTATTATTTCGGTATAAATTTCAGTTAAGCCGTTTTCTTACAAGGCCCTCTAGAGAGTCCCACAGAAGGTCGTGTCTGAAATTTTATTGCGGCGCGGGATTTCGCGGCTTTTTTCGCCCGCACAATTTATATTTTAAATAGATCTCGGCGCGGATCTTAATTAAATTCTCTGTATAATAATTTAATGGGACATCGCCGCTTCGCGATTGCTTCGGCTGAGCCTTCTGCGATTTTAAAGTATAATTTTCTTTCCACTGAGCGCTTAATTAACGTAGCTGCGATTTTTGACCCGCTAACAGATAATTGAAAATCTTTGCACAGCTGATGTATATTAGGTGTACGTTAATAACGTTGCTTACTTTAACATAGTTATAAGTTAAGCATTGTTTTTTGCTTATGGTACTTGTTTGGTAATTTATAAAACTAATTTTACTATTAGCCTTTACAGTCGTAATAGTCTGGGAGCGACTCCGGTAGACGGAGTTCGATTCCCGCAGCGGTAAATCTTGTCGTCTATATTATCTACAAATTTTAATAGGTACTTTATAAGGTGCCGTACCCAAAGGCTGAAACGGGACTCAATTACTAAGACTCCGCTGTCTGTCCGTCTGTCACCAGGCTGTATCTCATGAACCGTGATAGTTAGACAGTTGAAATTTTCACAGATAATGTATTTCTGTTGCCGCTATAACAAGTAATACTAAAAAACAAAATAAAAAAAAATAAGTGGGGCTCCCATACAACAGACATCATATGTTGCCGTTTTTATTGTATATATATCCTTCGTGCGCGAGCCCACTCGCACTTGGCGGGTTTTTTTTTTATTTTCGCTATCAATCAATCAGCCTATTGCAGTCCACTACTGGATATAGCTTCTAAGGAGCCACATCCAGCCACTACCGACGACCTTTCTCAGGTCATTGGACCACCTGTATCAGAGTTTCGAAATACAAAATATCCCATTTTGTAGACCTTGGCGTGAAAAGGGAACGAGCACACGCTAAAACATACTCAATCAGAGTATTACTACGATGTACTTGGGAGCCGCGATATCTCAGGGTCGCTCGGTTCTAATTCAATATACGCGAGCAACCTCGAGCAACCTCGAAAAAGATTTCGAAGGTATGTGAGGTCAGCCCACAGTGGGGTCGCGTGGTGGACTATGGCTTAGTACCCTCTAAACAGAAGAGGCGTTTACCCAGCGGGACATATATAGGCTGTTGCTGTACTTTGCTGCTTTTTAAAAGATAATCGGCATGGTAGCCTTATCATTTCACGATTTAAAATTGAATGAGACCACTTTTACTGCTTCCTATAATGCTCAGATTTGTGTTCATAGTTTTATTGTAGAATCAAATGGTATGCTATGGCTACTATAATAACACAATCACACCGTGGGAAATCGTAGAGGAAGTTCTAGCAAACGATGATCAAAACGTGAAGTACCGCGTGAAAAATCTACTCCGTATTAACAAAACAACACAGCCGACATTGTACTTTTAATTAAAGCCAACGTTGATCTCTCTGTGCAATTAAATTACATTAATTGGCTAAGGGAGCGAACACACCCCCTCGTGAATGGCTTATTACAACGCGTTAAGGGCTAATTTCCCCCGGCGACTTTGGCCGCTTACATTTGCGAAATGATAGCGCTTATGGGGGTTACAGGCTGCTTATATTTTGAACTCTACCCCTTAGCAATAGAGGTCAGTGGGGGACGTATTCGGGATGAATGCACAAAGAGATGCCAGATATAGATTCGGCGCGATTAACCGTGGGTTAAGTGACGCGTTGCTAACGACTCGATTCCAATTCCTTTTTGTTGTGCTTTTATCAGTTTGTCCGTTTAATAGCTTTGTTAGTAGATAGTTGTCAAGAGCGTGTCGCATTAATCGCGTTACGTTCCATTAGATTCATGTACATATATACGTGTGAAAGTGGATTGAGGCCAAATGATTATCAGCAAGGCAACTGCTGAATCTAAATGTAGTAACTAACTAAGTAATGTACTTTGTCAGAGTTAAGATAAGATAAAAAAGTGTCGACTTTTTTATGCACGTTTTTAATTAAGTAATTTTCACTGTAATACCTGCAATAGATAAATTTTTTACCACAATAAACATTGACAGACACTACAAAGGCTTATCAATAAAAATAGTTTCATTTAGTAATGTGTAATCACACAAATACAAGAAAAGATCACCTTTTTATGATGTAATTATTATTAATATTTGTAGATAATTAAAATTTATTATTATTATTATTAATCATCTATTTTATCTATATCATCTATCTATATAATAATACGTGATTCGTGAAGCAAAATCTTTTTACACCTTTATACGAAAATTGCACGGACGGAGGACTATGAAATTTCCCACACATTTCCCACACTTATAGTTTATTTAGAGATTAAGGAGTGCAGAATGCTAATATTTTTTTAATAATGCATAAAATATACATAAAATCAATAAAAAAAACATTAAACACATTACATGTATAATTAATTGGTCGAATTTCAACCACTGGGCGAGCATCACTTATTATTATTTTCCGTGCGCAATTAACAAGCCCATGGGAACCGTAGCCTTTATACAGACTCTTAGTTCGATTTTACATAGCACTTAACACTGACAGCAAAAACATTGTCCAATAAAGGCCTTTGCGTTCTTTTAATAAAGCTATTCATTACAGAAGCAATGAAAAACTGGAGGTTTCTTTTGTCTACGGAAATAACGTTACAATACTGATTTTTTTGGTTTGTTAACCAAACATCTATTAACAAACCCATTGTTCCCGAACAAAATTAAACATCATCCCGGGACAAAAGGGGACTCAGTGAAATTTTCAAAACGAAGGAAATTATAAAAAAAAATCGAACATTATACAATCTATAAATCTATAAATAATATTTTAATTATTGACAAAGTAAAAGTCTATTAAAACAATTCAACTTATATCGGAAATTTAGACAACTGTACGCTTGCACCCCACACGAGAGATACGGAACTGCCCACCGCAAAAGCACGCACGCGTCTATTAATAAAGACCCTCCGAGGCGTATTGAGCGAAATTAATTCCTCGCCGAGCCACAGTCGAGCTAAAGGCATTGAATCTCCGTTTCCAAACTGTCACTTTGACATTCACAATGCTCGCGGAGGCAGAGACAAACGTCGGCCGCTCTCACCTACGGCGCTCGCCGGTGTCATAAACAAATCAAACATGGCCGGGCCCGCCCGAGATATTAATGAGACAATGAGACATTAGCCCGATACAAAATACCTCCGTATTCGCGAATAATTAAATCGTAAAGCGCCCCTCTACGCCGCCTACCGCGCCCGTCTATTTACTCCTTTTTCCACTCAAACACAATAGCGCGCTGCAATCCGCTGTACGGACGCGTCACGTCACTAAAACCAAACACAATCGATTGTAAATACACCGTATTGCATTGCGGTAGGGTTGATAATCGATTGGGCCGCGGCGGTCGTTGAGGCGTGCTGTCCGCGCAGCGCTAATTCCGGCGCGACGGTCCCCGCCTACTCGGTGTCGCGTTTACACACATGTGGGGCTTTAGCGCCGTCTCGCTCGTGCGGCGGCTGCTGTCAAAGCGGTCCGGGCGGTAGCGGCGTCCCTCTCGGCCGCCGGGTAGAGGCGGGCCGCGGCGAGCCCAATGCCGGCGCGGGGCCCACGGTGCGGCCGCGCGAATCGTTACGCGGCGCTTTCGCGGCCGCGACACGCCGCATCCGGCGACTCACTCCGCACTCGCGAAAGCGGCCGAGAGCTACGCGCGAGAGCGAAGAAGTTCGAACGCGGCTCGATAGAACTCGCACCGGCCCGGAAACGATCGAACGCACCGGGTCGAACTCGACTCGCGCGCGAACTCTCGCACGCGCTTCCGATCGAAATCGCGCGACCGAAAAGTTCGAAGCGGCAAGAGACGTTTAAAATGCGCCGCTCTTGTGGTTCATCAACTACTATGGTACTGTTTCAGTGAACGGCTTAAACGCGCTCGGAAATGGACGGTCGGTTGAAGCGGTCGATTGAAAGGCCCCACACGAATTTTTAGAAGAGTCCATTACCGCGAAGTCCTCAACGCGTGTTCGGTAGTAGTGGTAGAAAGTGACACTTAACGTGGTTTAAAAATGTACGATTCGTCATCAGGTGATTTAATTCGACGGTCCGCATCGTATTAATGGATTCATGTAGAAAAAAACGTTTCAACATAAATTTGCATACATTTACATTACGAAGTATTTATCTTTCAATTGATTAGAATAAACAAATCGCGTTAAACGAACCACTTATACAGTTTTAAACGACACCATTGTTTCTACAATTCGAAAAACCAAACATAGGTAACAGTGATTGTGATAAAGAGTCAAAGGAGCAGTTTGGAAATGTCGACGTGAAACTGGCCGGTCACTCCTGATACACCTGAGATGCGACCGGGCAGATGAGATGAAGACTTCGCTCGAATGCGATCGGGCAGAGGCCGCGGACAGCGGCGGCAAAGGACGGATATCCTTCAGCGTGGACTCTCTCCTGGGCAGCAGGACTGACGCGCCAAAAGAAGCAGTAGACACGAGCAGCGTCGACGAGAGCGCAATAGAAACTGACGACAGCGACGTGGACATAGAAGATGTCGAGTCCAACGCTGGCGACGAGAGGGACGACCGAGAAAGCCACAATGACGGAGAGGAAATGGAGAGTAGAGGAGTGGTTGTCCCGCAACCCCTGCTGCCGCGGCTGTACCAGGGCCCGGCACCGCCGGCTTGGCCCTTCGGTGCCTTCCCGTGGATGGCGCCTAACCCGATGTTCAGAGCCGGCTCACCCAACAGTAAGTCGCACTGGAAGGGTATCTTCCGCTTCCAGAACTAAAAAATTAAGCAGAAGATGGATTTCAATCTTTATCTTTGCTAGATGATATTTTTTCCTGCAGTACACATACGCTGTAGAGAGGCTGCTCTTCCTACAGGCTTATTGACGCAATATCTTTAGAAAAAAAGTTGCATAAGTAATTTTCTCTACAAGAAGCTTCCTTCTCAAAGGCAGAAGGAAGAGAAAAAACGGAACTAAATCAATAACCATTCACAATAAATTTGAATTTATGTTTTAAAAATCAATTTATTATAGATTGCTCGATGTGAAAACAGATCTAAACCAGAGCTTGCATAATAAAATTATAGTGATGAAGTGGTTTTAATAATTCAATTCCTTCTTGACAGAATTTGTATTAGACATTTCTTGCAGAGCTTAAGTGTTTAGTAGCGTATCGACATTATATAAGGTTTCCATTCTGATGTTGCGTACAAAATAATTTTGTTACTCTTTACTCGTTTAGCAATTCTTCAGCATTTTTACACAACCGTAATGTATCAATTTAATATAAACGGCCTGCACTTTAATTTAATAATTACTATATATAAGCTGATGCAACACTAGTACTTATACCAATTTATCGTTTACTAATAAGAATTAAGTTTAACGAAGAACAGAGGCAGTCATCATATAAAAGTAGTAATCATATATAGAAACTTTTAAAGCAAAAAGTCTAGTTAAATAGAACTTTTAAATGTGTCTTTTTTGTAATCAGTTACAGTTCCGAGTTACAAAAATATTTAAAATAATTTCTTTGTTGGACTCTTCGTTGAATTCGAACCGTATTAAATCATATTTGGTCAATCAATCAGGTTACTCGAGTAAATGGAATCAAAACCGAGCGCCCCACACTGAGCTGTTACAGCTTTGACGAAAGAAAATATAATTATTTATTACTAGCAACCCGCCCCAGCTTCGCACGGGTGCAATGTATTTATTATATAGGTGCAATTATATTATATTATACAAACATTCCTCTTGAATCACTCTATCTAGTAAAAAAAAACCGCATCAAGATCCGTTGCGTAGTTTTAAAGATCTATGCATACATAGGGACAGACAGACAGCGGGACGACTTTGTTTTATACTATGTAGTGATGACATATTATTGTTCATTTTCTGAGATGGTACTCACATCTACCGAAAAGATAGTTAGAAAATTAAAAGACTGCCATAGAGAGATAATTTATTTTATTTAATTTAGCTTTAACCCGTGGCTTCGCTCGTGTTGAAGCCTTAAATAAATATCTTTTATTTTTAAATATATTTTATTTTAATAAAAAGTATCGTATGTCCTTTTTAAAACCTCTAAGATACAAAGTTTCATGATTGGTTGAGTAGTTTTGGCAGGAAAGCGTAACAAACAAACTTACATGATATCATTAATTATAATATGACATACCTATATATATATAAGTGAGATGTGACAGATGATGGACAACGTTTGATACGGAAAATGATAGCGATCTATAGAATTGCAATCTTATCACACCAATTGGCGTAATTTGAGTGCCTCTATTTCGGTACGCTTGTGTCGCATCTACCTCGTATTTGTTGGTAACTTGTTAAGGTCTCCAGTCCAAAACTCTCTCAAAAGGTGATTAAATCGTATAAATGAGGTTGTTGATTGAAGCAATAAAAATTATATCCATTGCCGTCGATTTGATCGATGTTTACTAGCTGTTTTTGCTATCCAGGAATATTTAAAATCATAATCTTGCCCTTTTTCCTTTTAGGAAGGGTTGTTACAACTTGTGAATCATGTTGAATGCCTGCATAAGTTCAATCCTTCCTGGGAACAAATACCGACCTTCAGGTCGGTATTTGTTGTTAGTAGTAGATTTGTTGTTGGTAGTGTATTTCAATACACTGTGGCTCTCACGAGTACCAATCCCGTGTGGGAATTTAACCCACGACCCCAACTGCCTAAGCTAACAGTTTAACAACTGAATTAATCATCAGACTCCATCAATTAAAAACGGACCAATTAACAACGGTCTTGTTTTCTATTATGCGCCTTCTAATTAAGGAGCTAACAGTCTAGATATGGATGCCTGATAGAAAATTGGGATCGAAGGTAATAATTAATAGCTTAGAAGACAGAAGAGAAAAGGCTTCGAAAACTTGTTATTTTTGGGTTATTAAGATATATTTTAGGAAGTATTTTTTATTATAAAATATGTTTATCAGTACATCGTAACACGGTTTTCGTATTTCTCGCTGTTTTACATGAAAAATAATGATAATTATTTACATTAACAAATTTATAAATATACATATCAATTAATAGGTTTAGTTTACATATCAATTAATATGAAAAAGGCGAACGTGGTAAGAAATTTTCACTTCGAAATTCCTTCAAACTACGCACATTATAATTGAATGAAAACACGGAAGATACAAACAACACCGCACCCTATGTTACAAATTCTACTAAGATCAACCTATACATATCCTATTAATTGTTAGGTTAGAAATTGTTAAATAAAACTATTTCACAGATGCAAAGCATTTAAATATGTTTTTAAATTACTGCTAACAAAAAAAGAAAATTTATTGCCTAGACTAAACACATATTGCTATCGGAGGAATACATGGAAGTTGCTAAAGACACCTTGCCTCGACTAAAAGATGACATGCCACTAATGTTGAGTTTAAAAAATATTCGTCTCCCGTCCTACAAAAGAAGAAAAACCTCTTGGACGCACTTTTGTTTGGCTCGTGTGTACAGTGTAATTAAGGCATTAAGTTTTATTAATACCAAGCTCTAAGTGTCCGAATGACCCAAAATTTAACACTCACGTAAATATCCTCGTTTCTTACTTAACAGAGATCTCAGTCCATGCCGATTATTCAGTCTAGAAGCCTCAGCTACTGGTAAAATAAGAATCATATATCGTACAGGTGAATATATGGTACATAACAACGCAAATCTTATGAGTATGCTCTATAGAAAATTAGTAAGTTAAGTTTCAGGACTACGATATTAAATCAATTTGATTACGATAGTATTAAGATATTCTTTAAATGAAATTAAAAACTCTATCAGCAAACTTAAAATCTAATATTTAAGGAACAAACAACAATCCAGATATTTTTTTCGTAATAAATTATTACCTCGTTGTAAGTAATCTCATTCGGCATCTTTCCATCGCCGTATCTGTTTATAAGAGTTATCTTAACGCCGTATCACGGCTTAATTTGCAATTTCGCGAGAACAAAGATGCCGTAATAAGTTAATTCGGTGTTATTCCACGCAGGTATGCGCTCGGCGAATTCCGCCGCTGGACTTCAAATGAGAAATGATTTCACGCGATTTTTTTTTGAGGATTATCCGGTTCGATCGTGGCTCGAGATAAGTTAACTCGTCTGACACTAGTGCCTGTCCGGACAGACGTCATTGGTGAGCTAGTATCTACTATAGCAGTACCTACATAGCTATTATCGCCGAAGCGCTTGCGGTCAAACTAGTTGTTTTAATCTTGCGAATCTGTGAACAGTAATCGTCGTAAATCAAGCTCGAGTGTACCTATACTTACCTAAAGTTAAACTAATAGATAGATGGAGTGACGCCCTGTGCAAATGTGCGGGAAGTCGATAGATACAGGTGGCTCAGGATCGTAATTCGTGGCAGTCTGTGGGGGAGGCCTATGTTCAGCAGTGGCTCAAATAGGCTGAAATGATGACGATGAAAGTTAAACCGATGTGTTTAAGTTTTAAATTGGTGACGAGCCTGTCACGATTGTCGCACAAACGTTTGTTGTACAAACGCCATAGGACTCGATGTCAACTCAGGGTACGAGTCAACGTTCCAAGTACGTGTCCACCATTGCCCATAACTCATATATTGAGCTGAACCATCAAAGTTCTGAAACATAATTTGAAAATGAAAGGCGTTTAGTTTTTATCGCTATATTTCCATGCACGGATCCGTGTTTCTGATTAATCGATGTAGTATATTATTCAGCACATGTAAAAAGTTGAGATTGTACTATATTTCCATGCACGGATCCGTGTTTCTGATTAATCGATGTACTATGTTCTTATTTCAGCACATGTAAAAAGTTGAGATTGTACTTTGAGTTCAGATTAATTGTCTTTCTACTAGATAATATATGTACATTATAATTATAAAACAATAGCAGTTTTGAGATGGATGTAAGAACAACTAAGGACAACAGCTTGCAGGGGTTTCAATCGGGCTGTCAAATTTTTAAGGGCCAGTACCGTCTTTACCATTAGGGCACACGGGGCCCCTGCCCCTGGGACCCTGTCGTCCTCGAAATTTTACCCTAACTATCTGTCGATAGCTTTTATAGAGAAAGGGTTATTGTGCTCATGACGAAAAGGAAAAATCTAAATACAAGCCCTTTTGCAAGCCCCCTAATATTAACTCCGTAACCGAATGTTCAGTTATTTGATATATTTTATGGCTATGAAATCAAATCAGTTTACCGCTTAGGCTGAGGGAGAGAAGGAAGAAGAGACAGAGGGGAAAAGGGAGAGAAAAGCGAGAGAGCGGGACAGAGAGATTCGATCCCAGTGTATGGTCAAGTGATTTCCGTTTCACGAACTCCTCACGTGCGTAAATCACTTTTGCACAATAAGACAGGTTTGTTAAATGTTTTTGATTCTTAAATTTGGAACATATTTTACACCGTCTACATCGTTAGCGTTATAAATCGCGAACGCTTGGAATTGTTGTTCAAAATGTACAGCCGAGTTCAATTAATTTCGATCCCACATACTGGCCAGAGAATTCGGGGTGAATAGGTCGCAGATCATCTCGGGTCTGTGATCATGATCACCAAATACGTCCGCCATTAGATGGAGAGAGCCAATAGATGAGGCAATAGAGAGAGAGGAATTTGATACAGGCGGTTTGGTGTACCACCTTGTAGCAACGTCTTCGCCCTAGATATAGTCACAATTACTATTACTGTAATAACAATGAAATTGCGATAGTACTTGTAAATTGAATAATCACAATTATAATA